CTGGTGGCCCACAATGATGAGAGACACCAAGTTGTACGTGGATACTTGTCAGGTTTATCAGAGAGACAAGCCACGTACATAGACCCCTCTTGGGCTTCTCAAGCCCCTTCCGATACCGGAAAAGTCAGGTGAGAGTTTGTTTATGCATTTCATGGACATGCTGGTCACCAGCAAGAGTGGAATGAGATATTTCTATGTCGTTGTAGATAGGTTTAGCAAGTATGCTAGGTTAGTCGCAATGCCTGCAACAGCCAAGACTGAGTACGTGATTAAGCTATTCAAAGAAAACTGGGCCAGAGACTTCGGTTTGCCAAAGTCTATAATTAGTGACCGGGATGTGGGATTTACCAGTGAATCGTGGAAGGCCACAGCGGCAGAACAAAGGACACAACTGGAGATGACCTCCGACAACCACCCAGCGGCAAACGGGCAAGCAGAGCAGCTGAACCGCGTTGTTCAACACCTGCTGAGGCATTACATCAAGCCTAATCAGGTGGACTGGGATGAGAAACTTGCTCTCATCGCCAGTCTGTATAACAACGTCGTGCACAGTGCAACCGGGGTGAGCCCCAACAGTTTGCTACTGACTTTCAAACCAAGACTTCCCTTAGATTTTCTACTACCTGAGAATCAGCCTTCTGCTGCACCAGGCACCCTAGAGTTTGCATATCGATATGAGCGCCTGATGCAGCAAGTTGTAGAACAGATGCACAGGGCACAGGCGGCGATGATACAGTCTGAGAACAAGCACCGTCGTCCATCTACATTCCAAGTAGGGGACAGAGTCTGGATCAAGTCCTCAGAACTGGGACAAGAGCACGGGATATCCCGTAAGCTCATGCCACAGTACTTTGGACCCTGGGAGGCTCTAGATATCGTCGGGGATGATCCGGATGGGCCGTCATATCATGACTCATATGTAGTTCAGATCCCTGGTCACCTTCGCACTTACCCTTTCTTTCACGCCTCCAAGCTTGCACCTTTCAAGGAAACTGCTCAGTTTCCCTCACGACGCTCAATGCTGGCCCCAACCATGGATGGAGAGGTCGACATCGTGGACCATAGAGAAATGCCAGTTCCAAGACCGACAGGCAGAGGATGTCCTCCTAAGCCGAAACTGCAATATCGCGTTCGGTTCAGACATCACATTGATCCTAAGGAGGACAGATGGTTTACCAGGGAGGAACGGATGCAGACCACTCCACAGGTTGTCGCTCACTACGAGAAGTTACTGCAGAAGGGAAAGTGCCAGATTGAGTAATGGAACTTCTCAGAGGACTGTCAAACTATGGAGGGAATGCGAGGCATAAGGCCCCGATGAGCCCCTTTTTCCCCTGTAAGCAGCACAGTCGGCTGCCCTAAGTGAAGGCAGGCCCGACCGAGGCCAAGAGGCCTATTTTTCGGCTACCATGCATTTGGGGAAATTCAGGCTGTTGCGCAGCGCCAGTTGGTTGAGAGCGCCCAGGCCCAGGCTGCCTTTTTCGTACGTAACTGAGGCAGGCCCCGGGCCAGATACACAACAAGGGCCGAACACAGGCTGCAGGCAGTTGGGCACAGGCAACCGCCACAGGCCCTGGGCCTGATTCGTTTGGACCGGGGCTCAGCCTCTCGGGGCCTACCGGAAGCTTCTGGGCAGGGGCCCAGCGCAGCCAGGCCACACACAGCAGGCAGGCCACTTCCATTTAGGAAAGTGCCTGCCCTCGCATTTGGCATTCGGGCACTGGCTGCATGCTGCGCAAGCGCTGCTGCGCTGATCGCTGGCCAGGCCCACGCGCTCACGGCGAGGTGGATCAGCAGGCAGCCATAGCCGAGCTGCGCTGCACTATGCTGGATGGGCCGCATGGTGGTCCTTGGGTGCATGTGGCATCTGTGAGTGGTGCTTGAGGCGAATGGCATTGGCCGAGATCTGCTCGTACTTCGGGGAGCTGTTGACGTCACCAGCGGCATTGTAGATAGGCTAGATAGGATCTGCCATTTGTAGTCTGGGTGCAGAGCGCCAGATAGGAAGTCGACATTGGTTCTTTGTTGATGATGATGAGACTATTCCAACATTGTCACTTATGAGCTTTTGCTGTGCTCTTATTTGGTGGAACTCGTGTTGCAATTCTGCTTTCGGTTCGAGGTCACGACTGTCTGGTTACATGTGTATGATGCTGCTTGGTTTCTGTGATTCGCTCTCGCTCATTTTCCTTGCAGAGGTGTAATATGGGACTGTTTGTGTAATCTGTATATGATCTCCACATGGAGTCTGTAGGCTTTGCAGGCTCCAGGCGCACGTAACCCGTAGTGTAGTTCGCAGGCCAGTCACACGCTGAAGACTCGTCATTCATGGAATCTGTGCCGAAATACAGCATCACGGGCCTTACGTAATTCGTGCCAACTCCTTTCTGCGAAAGTCCAAGTACAGGGAGCAGCCTCTGGCCTCCTCGGTACAACCATGTTTTTTCTTCTTTTTCCCCCCCCGCAGCCAGGAGGCTGCGCCTTACCCGGTGGCAGTTTGTCACATAGCGGCATCATTTTTTCGCGACCATGGGTTGTTTCTTTTCTTTCTTCTTGAGCCTTCCTTGCTCCTCGACACCTTTGGACCACCTACCACGGGAGGGTTGCCTTGTGCAAATTCTCCAAGACAGAGAGACTATTCACCTCCTGGGCCAGCAAACTCTCCAGCACCTTTTCTTTTCCCTTTTTCTTTTCTTTGTTTAAGGTGAACTCGACATTAAACGAACACGAAACTCTCCAGAACTCTCCAACACCATAATGTCTTGCGAACATTCGACCTTGTCCCTCAAACACTGCAACACTGCACTAGTGGAGTTGTCGAACCAATCCTATGCAATTTACCGACTCTGTCGGGGTCGAGTCAGCCAGTGGGTGTGCATTGGTGTCCTAAAGGTTTATCCTTCTCATTGTGCAAAAAAACAACTTGAAAAAGGACATTGTATAGTCTGCCATCAGTCTTGGTTGCCTTTTTTTTGCTTTTTCTTTTTTTTTTTTCAATTGGGGACGATGCTCCAATCTATTAGTGGGGAGCAACACGTGCTCAGCGTAATTTCTGAAATTGAAGGCAAACTTTCCTTCTCCCTGCTGAGATTTCTCACGCAGTCTGTTTTTCCGCACGAACCCTCTTTGCCAGTTGAGGGGTTAGCCAATTAAGGTCTCCAACAGAAAATAGGAAGAAAAAGGTACCACCTGCCAAATCACCTTACTGGAAGATTCCTTTGTTTTCCCCTTTTTCCCTTTAAATTTCCTTTTGTGCTAAAAGCTGGTATCATCAAAATGTGGGTCTGAGAGGACATACTCACGCTACATCCTCGAAATCGCAGAATCGCGAAGTAAGCAGCCAAGTGTCCTCCTCCTTTTGCAAGGACTCAATCTGGCCGCTGATTTGGGGATTTTGCGATTTTGAGGGCCTAGTGGGAGTATACTCTGAAGCTACCGAGAACGGCGAGAAGACTCAACTGCGATGAAGATACTCCGAACCAACAGCGCAAAGAATGCTCCATGGCAACTGGCAGCCCTCCAGCTTGGTCAGGTAATTCCCAGTCCTTGGCTGGACAAAGCTTCCGGCACTTTCGACCCTCTTTTTCCCATGCCCATTTCTGCTGCGGAGTGGGCTTTCTCAAACCAGCGCAGGCGCAAAATAGAATTGTTTTGGCTGGTGCTGTCAGCCTTTTCCATTCAGTAGGCTGAGCCCGAAGGAAGCGTTGGAACAATAGATGGGGACAGTACTGGTGGTTTTTAAACCACCAGTACTTGGGCCAGCTATTTGTTTTTGGCCCGGGCGTTAATGTGCCAAGCTCTTAGGAGCTCGGGTAACAGAACGAAATGGCTGGTGACACCAGCCTAAAGAAAAGTGCGCCGATTCATTTTTCTTCGGTGCGCAGGGCGTTTCCAGCCGTGGAGAAAAGTGCCTTGGAAGTACTGGTGGTTTAGACCACCAGTACACGGCCCCAGCCTTGCAGAAAGAGACTCCTCAGCCCCACCAAAAAAGTCCGGCCGGGCGTGGCGGCACCGCTGTTTATAAATCCCATTGCCGCCCTCTGAAGCCTTACCGGCCTCTGAAAGGGGCCCGCGGCCGATGTATGGGTGTACTGGTCGTTTAAGCAATGTTTGAATCTTTGAAGCTCTGTTTGTTCCCTAGATGCATTTAATAAAATTTAATGGGTTATTTGGACAGGGCTGCTCAGTTGTGGACAGGATTAGAGGCAGATCCCACCTCTTGTAGGCGAGGCACTCTTAGGGAATTGTTGGGATCCCACCTCTTTCCATCTCTTGCGGAGGGGCCCCTCTTTTTTCAAGGAAGTGGAAACATCCTGGGACGTGGCGTGCGGGGCGCATTTGGCGGCAAGGCTTTTCGTGCGAAACCCGAAAGACACCACGCCCGTACCCTTCCCCGAAAAAGGTGTTGTATTTTTGATTTTTTTTTTTTTTGATGTCCGCATCATCGTGTTGGAATGTCCGCTGGTCCAAAGAGGTGTGCGACGTGAGGAAAACCAAGAGGGTTCTACCGTTGGCGGTCAATGTCCCAAATGTGGGTACCGGGCTCTCCAAGCGGGGAAAATTACCTGAGGAAGGAAAAAGGAGAAGAGGCCCTGGGCCTGGCACCGCACACCGGTCGTGCTCCTCCTGCAACAGCGGTACTTTCGACGGATGCCAGCGGTGGTCCATCATCAAACCCTGGTCTTCGATTGGTCGTGCCATTTCATCGTGCCCGCAGCTTGTCTCCCACTCGTAAGGAGAGCACTTCTTCCGCCACGTGCACAGCCAGAGCAGTTCCAACGTGCCCGCGTTTTCACCACATGCATTGCCTGGAGAGCACTTCTTCCGCTCCCAGCACTGCCACAGCATTTCGAACATGCCCGCGTTTTCGCCACGTGCATTGCCTGGAGAGCACTGCTTCTGCCACGTGCATTGCCAGAGCAGTTCGATTTCAGAATCGAACGGCCGTTGTTCTGCAATCCGATCCATAGCTCGTCCCAGGCGCTGCATTTCCGTTCCGTGGAGCTCGGCGGCGGCGTCCCCATCAATAGCAACGTCTGATCACAACTTTGTTAGAGGTATGGACTCTCGACACCCTGTGCAACGGCGATCACCATCCCCGTCACCTCCTCTGATGGACACAGGCTTCCAGGAAGTCCCGCCATCCACCCCAGGCGCTGGCGCTCCGGTGCTGGTAGGATTGTCCGCCACAGCACGATCATCGGCCATGTCACGCATCGCCACATCCCTCCCGAACGGTTTGCCACCTTTGCCTGCCTGCACACTTCTGTCTATAGTCCAGGGAAAGAGCCTCATAGTATGACCTCTCTCCTTGCGGGAAGTCAGAGTTTTGGACCACCGCGATCTTCAGGAATGGGAAGATTGAATGCTGGCATTCAATCACCGTATCCGGCATGGGGGATGGCACGTGAAGTTGGGTATGTGCATGATGGGCATGGTACGGGGGCCAGTGGTGAACGG